ATGGCCAGCACATCACCCACATAGGGCCTGGCACAAAAGGGACCCATTTTTGCCCATTGTGACCTTTGCTGTGGCTGCTGGCATGGAGTGGGGCCACCCTGACTGGAATGCAATATCATTTGGGACTACGCTGTGAAGAGTTTTGCTTCCACCCACCCCTCCATCCCAAATGAGACATGATCCAATGGGTGTGTGTAGTGGGACCAGGATCTGGCAACTCTTTCCTTAACCTATATAATTGGCCTCACTTTGAGACTTAAAAAAGTGTGAACACAACTCTATCCCACTTCTTTTTTAAACAAAAATATATATTAATACGCTAGTCTCTAGTACCTAACATTCTTCTATTATGTCTCTAACTTCAGACCATAATTCCTCTGGTTCTTGGTCTATTATTCTCAGTCTATTATGGCGTCTGCTCCAGCCATAAGTCAAGAATGTGATGAATGTGCTCTGGCTTTTATTCCAGACTTTAGGGTCTGGTGTTGAACATATGTTATGTGTAAGGAATCAAAACCGTGGAGTGATCCTTTAAATTGTTGAATAACATCCAGACTCTGGATTCCAGAGTATTGCATCCAATGTCTTTTTATTCCTTCCTGGTCTTGAATTGTGTTATTTTTATTGTCATAGATTGCCCCAGTCCTTGGTTTGAATTTTCCTTTGATTTCCTGGATCTTGCTGCTGTACAAGCTCCAGCCCCTCCTACAGGATTAGTGTGTGTCAATGATGTGTATTGTCTGGTTGCTTTCTGTGTCCTGTCTTCACTGTGTTGACTAGAACTATGAGCCCAATTATTTACTCTTTACTCTAACTATTCTATGCCTCCAGAGGAAGAGTCAAAGCACAGGAGGGGAAGAATGCAGCTGTGGATCTGCAGAAGGAATGAAAAACATAGGGAGGTTCATCTCAATGCCCACACAAAAGTACTTGCATGCTCAGCTGCTCGCATGTATTAAAACACAGGAGACATCAATAGAGCAATGAGCTGTGAACTCCGAGGTGAATAGTAAGCATCCATCAGAGGGCTCATAATGGAATAAATGAGCTACACATGGAACAATTCCATTAAAAGAATAGTCTTTAAATGGGCTGGCTAATTTCCTAACATGCCTTTTGGATGTCAACTATCGGTGTAGCTGCCGAAGGATGTTATGTGATTTTCAACAGGAGGGAAGTTTGTTCAGAGTACAGTGAACTAAGGGCAGACACTTTAAGTGAAAGGTAAAAGCCTGAGTGGCATGGAAGCTGTTTGCAAAAGCTCAGCTTGCTCTCTTAATTTCAAGACATTGTCTGCAATTTTATCCCTTCCCCAAATTTCTCCTTGCTTATTTACACACTGTGGGTGAGGTTTTACATGATAGCATGGAACTTAACACTCTGGCCATACAGTTCCACATCTTTCCCCCTCCCACAAGGAAGTTTAAAAGGTCCAGAATGTGATGGCATAGTCATATGGTGGCCTGAGGAAGTGCCTGGACAGTGACTGGCTGCAATTCTGCAGTGGGGAGAAAGTCAGGTTCATCCACACCATTGTATTTCCTTTCTCTATGCATGGTTGTAAAAGCTGGATGGTGAAGAAAGCTAATATGAATTAAATCAGCTCATTTCAAATGTGGTGCTGGAGGAGAGTTCTCTGCCAAAATGACCAAAATTGCTGCTGCCATTAGCATAGCCTTTTGCTTCACAGGACCACACAATCCCACTACCGTGGAAAGGTATTGTCATAGATCCATAAGGTTACCATGAATTGAAGCTGATGAAACTGATGCAACTGTGCAACTCAGAAATATAAAGCCAAATTTGTTATGAATACAGTGGCCCCTTATTATCTGCTGGGGTTTGGTTCCAGGTCCCCCAGGATACCAAAATCCATAGATGCTCAAGTTCCATTAAATATAATGGTAAAATAGCAAAATCAAGATTTGCTATTTTGAATTTATACTTTTTTGGAATATTTTCAAACTGTGGATGCTTGAATCCATGGACAAAGAATCTGTGGATGCAGAGGACTGACTCTATGTATGATAAATAATTGCTTTGGGCTAGGTAGGCATGGGGAAAGGAACCTTAATCATTTTATTTGACAAGAAACTGATGTGCACTGATAACACTGTACTATAGTCAGCAGAGGGATGAAATAGTAACTGCTCTTAAAAAGCCCTGCCCCTTTTGTGTTTGTGCAAGATCTCTAAGCATGCACTTGAATAGGATGTCTTTTCTTCAGGCACCCTTTTTATATCCATGTTAGCTGATGTCTTCCATTAGCTTTTTCTATTTTATATGCTGCTCAATAGAGGTATTCTACAAGTACTGAGTAATACGGAGGCTTGAGATAAAGATCAGTTACACACTGGCTCCTTCCAAGAGCAAATGGGCATAACTGGCAGTACAAAATACAAACTGCCCTTGAATAACTATTTGGAACAGATGCTTGGAGTGCAAATTTGCCACCATTTGCATTTATCTGGCCTGGATGTGCAAAGGACAGTCCTATAGATATTGTTAAATTTCATCTCCCATCATCCATCACTATTAATAAGGCTGGCTTGGACTGTTAGGAGTTGTAGTCTAATAATATCTCCACTTCTGCATTTGATGCTTTATTTGTACACCCTTGAACACCAGAAGGTCTTGAAGTTGGTGCCAACCCAGAGTGGTGGTCCCTAGTATAACTCCACATTGGCCTCGTTCATATCAAGGTTCAGAACAATCACTTACCCTAGAAACAGTAGTGTCAAGCTGTTTTCAGAGCAATCTATTCTGACTCATACACATTCAAGAGCATTGTTTTTTTTTCCAGGAGTAAACATGAATGGTGACTCCAGTTATGATCTGAGTAGATGATAGCATGCCTGCATTTTGACAACTTTGAGTTAAGATGATCTTATCGCTGTAGTGTAGAACAATGCAACTGTTCCAGAAGGATGACAGCAATGTTGATCTCACTGTTGTCATTGTTAATTGTTGTCATGTTGTCTTTAAATTATGGTGACCCTGTGAATGAGGCACCTTCAAAACACCCTGTTATTAACTACCCTGCTTGAGTCTTGCAAACTCATGGCTGTGGCTTCCTTGATTGAATCTATCCATTTGCTGTTGCTTTTGTTGTGCTTTCAAGATTTTTCCAATTTATGACAACCCAAAGGTGAATCTACCATGGGGTTTTCTTGGCAGGATTTGTTCAGAGAGGGTGCCTTTGCTTTTCTCTGAGGATAAGAGTGTGTGATGTGCCCAAGATGACCCAGGGGGTTTCCATGGCTGAGCAGGGATTTGAATCCTGGCCTCCACAGGCAAAAGCCAATGCTCAAACCACTGTACCACACTGGCTTTAATGTATTCTTTTCTACTGCCTTCTGCACTATTGTTGCCATTTCTAATGAGATTGTCCCAAGCTTTTTCTTTTTCTTTCTCTTTTTCTTGGAAAACAGAGTTGTATATGCCACACAGCCTGCTCTACATGCCCAAAGTATCCTGCTATTCTCAGTTGCAGCAGAGGACTGTCTTCTAATGTTTTTGCTAAAATAATTTTCAAACTGGAGTCTAATTTCTTTCTATAATTGAAAAGGAGGGGCTGCCATCTTCCACTTTGCCTCAGCCAGGGGGAAAATGGCTTGTGTCAGCTCTGGCTTTCAGAAAAACTGAACCAAATGGTACTGAACTCAGTGTGATTTCTGAGAAAACCCTCAGTGAGGAAAGTGAGTACCAATGTGGGTATTACACAGTGATGCAATTGGGTAGTTTTAGACCAAATGGTTTTACAGGCCTTATGTGACAAGGCATAATTCTTTACTTTGAGGTGGGAATCACATAGCCCTCTGGATTTGTTTGATTGCAACTTCTAGCACCCCTAGACAGTGGTGAGGAGTGGTAGGAATTGTAGTTTACCATCATATATCTGGAGGACTACATTATTGCTACACCTGCTTTGCTCTTGAAAATGTAAGAAGTTGGCACTGTTGCTTTAGGAGCCCTTCGTGCTCATTATGCTGAGGTGGGGCTCTAATTCTTTGTCCCACAGTTTGACCAGACAGTAGAATTGGTTTCACATGGATATGGGTACCAGTTCATTTGTTTTGTTTTGTTTTTGTTTGCTTTTGGAAAAAAACATAATAAAATTTCCTTTTAAAAATTAGAAAACAGCATGAGGTAGTTTAGAAGACTGATAAAAAGGGAAAAGAAACAATTTCTCCTCTCCTTCCTGATAGTCATCTTCCAAGACTAATATTTATAGAAACAAATAAACCAACCTTCCCCAAAGAGATGTTAAAGGGGCTAACAGAATCCAGAGACAGGCTTTGGAAGCATTTATTTTTGGATTATAGTTCACAGACTCCACAAGCAGTGGCCATGTTAGCTGGGGATTTCCTGGGAGTTGTAGTCCAAGAGGAAAAACATCTTTCCTATATTAGAAATGAGTTTTATCAGAAGAGCTTTCAAAATTCTTTCCACAACTAATCCTTGCCTGCATCTGAGACTATTATGCATGGAGATAACTAGCAAAGTTACAAGACCATGCTAAACTTCCCCTCTCCATGAGATAGATGCAGACACCTTTTACTTTTCCTCATCAGAGCTACAGTATGATCACTTCTCTAATGGGAAGTTAAGCCTCCTCCTAAATCCAGGATGAAGCCACAAGGGCGGGGCTCTAGCACAAAATAGAAGACTTTCACAGCATTGCAGTCTTTTCTGCTCAGGTTATTGGCACCTTTGGCTGATTGAATTTCCCCAAAGCTGTTTGAAATCTCTTTCTTTCATTTCAGTGATAACACCAGTTCCAGAAAGGGCAGGCTAGGTCAACCACAGTATTCTTCACTGTTGGATTGGCAGATAAGGAATTTGCCCACCATCGCTACCTTCTTGCCTCTGCACATTACTTTGGGACCTTTCTCACTACACAAATATGGCAGTGGGATGCCATTTCCCCTGCCATGGCAGCATCTTATAGAACCTTGGTCTTGTAGTTTGGTGAGACACTGGAACTGAGTTTTAAATCCTAAACACCCCTTCCTAAACTGCAGGTACCTTGATTCTACAGGATGGAACCACGGCAATTAAAATGGAATCACTTTAAATAAAATACTGGGTTTTTTAAAATGTGTAATATGTATTTCATAAATGTTTAAACTGTGTTTTAAGCAAATATAGTAAAAGAAGTGTTTTATTTGAACTGACAATTTAATACTCTTAAAAAGCTCTTTACAGCTTTATTTATTTTATTTTTACTTATACTGTAAGGTTCTCTGAGTTCCATTTGTGAGATGCAAAGCAAGATGCAAATCAAATCAAATAACATAAATAAATGCAAATCATAGTGATGTATTTGTGCAGTATGAAAAAACAACAACACTTTAATTCAAATGCCAAAGCCGTTACTGCAGAAATGGGATAGTACAGTATTCATGCAGCTTCCCAGAATATAATGGACAGCATCTCCCAGCATTCATCCATATTGGTTCTATTGGCTAAGGCTGATGGCAGATGAAGTTTAACATGATTGTATGATCCCTAGCCCCGCTCTACTGAATATTTCTGTTGGGGAATCCAGAGCAACCAAGCCATCAGGCTAAATATAAAGAATTTTGGCTTTAGTGGCTCAGGCAGGCCAAATTCAGGTGTGACATTGTTTGATGGGGGAAAAAATAAGCCAGAGCCTCAACAGCTGTCTGTCGATGTTTGGATTTGACAACCTGGCATGTTAAGGTCAAGAAACATTGCCTTGGATGAGTCACCTTTTCATGTGACCTAAACGACAAGGGCAACTCAAGAGACTTGTTTTCCAAGTGAAGCTGTTGACACGGAACCAAATCCTTCTCTCTGGTTACTGAGCTTTTCTCAGGAATGATTTGAGTTATCATTCCAGTGACAGAACTTGCAGCAAAACACAAGACATTCTCTTGCACTTCTTGATGTGGGAGTATTTAACTGAGAGTTAAATCCAGAGGAGGAACTCATGGGAATGGTGTTATTACTACTTACAGATTTATTTATTTATTTATTTAATTTGTAAATCCCACAAAGAATAGGATGCATCCACATATTTCCTGACATGAGACTACCCTAGTTTTAAGATCCTTGAGGGAGGCTTCCCCTTGGGAAATTATCACACCACAAAACAAAGTGACTGATCCCCGACAGGATACAGTTGCATTCTGGATTGCTCCTAGATATTATCATACTTAAAATGGCACTGTTGCTGCCAGATGACTGCAATCCGGCTGCAGCTTGGATCCCAGCCATGCTTAGCTTAGCTGATTTTCCAAAATGGGAGCTTGCTGTTTTGGAAAATTGGCAGGCTAAGTGCAGCTGGGACCCAGGCTGAAGCCAGATTGCAGTCGCCCAGTGGCAGCAGTGGTGATTTGAATATGATAATATCTGGTAGCAATCTGAAACACATCTGTATCCTGTCACTTTATTTTGTGGTGTGGTAATCTCCTTAGTTTCACAGGTGTGTTTGCATTTGAGAACACAGGAGAGACCTGCTTAGTGGCTCTTCATGACTGCTTCCAGGTAGGCCCCTCTGTAGTCTCTTTCTGCTGTCAAGGAAACATTTTTTTGTTTACCCAGGCCTTTAATTGTTAACTGGCCATTAATTAGAGTGTGCTGTATTTTCATCATCATCATCATCATTATTTATTTGCTTTTTAAACTCTTTTAAATTAATGTATTTAATTGTTGTTGTGGTTATGTGCCTTGAAGTTGCTTCTGATGTATGCTAACCCTAGGATGAACCTATCATGTGGGTTTCCTGTCAGCTTTTTTTCAGAGGGGGTTTGCTCTTGCCTTCCTCTGAGGTTGAGAAAGTGTGACACCCAAATTCACCCAGTGGGTTTCCATTGCTGAGCAGGGATTTGGACCTTGGTTTCCCATGTCCTTGTTCAACACTCAAGCAATACACCAATGGCCAGGAATGCTGGGAGTTGTTGTCAAGCAATATCTGGAGGGCCACATGAATCACCACCACTGATGTAGAATATATATGCCATGAATATTACTTTGCTTTTTCTAATGTAGTGGGTGCCTACAAGTACTGGGCAATCTGAACACAGAAATGAAAATTGCTGTGTATGTGACTATGTCTGGGATGCCAGTGAACAGGGATATTAAACAAAAGGCATTGCTGTGTTGTGAAGCCAATTGGCAGCAACGATAAACACCTCAAAAGATTATGTATGTATTTTTAATCCAACCAGTCTCTGAAGGCAATTTATGCACATCCCTTTTCTTTTATGTTAGCCTAATAAATGAATTACTTATGCAGATCCTCCAGATGCTATTTCATTGTATCTGTCATTAGCCCTAGCTGCATAGGCAGGGGGAAGACACATTAGGAGTTACAATCTAACATCTGGAGGGCCTCATCTTCAATCTCCATGAATTAAATAACAAGAAATGGAATTCAGTATGGGACTTATGTCTATGTAAATGGCCATACATCTGCAAGAAATAGAAGTGATCAGTTTCTCATCATCTGTACTCAGTAAGAGGCTGCTGTGACATTAATACTTATAGAAGCCAGCAAGATGCTCACTGTGTATTGGGAATGATGTGCAATAGGAACCAGCGTACAATGGGCACCAATGCATGTTGGGCATTTCTGATGCTCCCCCAGGCAGCTGTTGTGCATCAGCAGAACCTGATGTGCATGAGGGCACTGGCCATGGAGTGCCAGTGTGCATCAGTAATGCTCAATGCCCACTGGGCCACTCTTGTCTGATATGCATCTTCATAATTTGCTAGGAGGCCTCCATAGTGCCTCTGCTATGTAGCTACATATGTGCAAAGTAATGCAATGTGGACTGGCTTTAAATAACACATAATCATAGTGTTTTAAGCATTTTGTTTATGGAGCAAAATTCTCCCACAAAACCTGTTGAATAGATTGATTCCATATGATTGCTGTGGATGATAGGAATTGTACCCCAATATGTCTGGAGAGCACCGGCTCGTGGAGGTTTGTTCTAGGTTGCAATCCCAGGGCAATGGTGGGCAAAGATGACCCCAAGCTAGTTTTGACCTACAACTTCCATCATCCATAGCCAGCAGAGCCAAAGAGGATGGGGGATTGGTGTTGAAATCTGACAACTGCTGGAGGGCCATAAGTTGTCCACCCCTGATTCTGGAAAAACCGTTCTTACCAGAGGATAGGACCAACTGTAGATATGATGCCTGGCATGGAGAAGAGCCTATGCTTAGCATATGACACCTTTCATATTAAGAAGCTTGGAAAGATCAGAGCTATTTTGGACCACAACTTCCAGAATTCCCAAACCAGCATGGCTGATGGCTGGGAGCATCTGGGAGCTGAAGTGCAAAATCAATCAATT